TAATGACATATCTATTAGGTAATTTAATGCAATTTTTATTTGCTTTATTTATTTAGTAAAATTTTAATTGATTTTGTCATATAATAACAGATTTTCCAAAAACAAAAATTCATTTTTTGGGTAGATAGATGTTCAAAATATTTCAGAGGAAAAAAAATTAAAATATATTATTAAATTAGAATAATAAAAATTAATTAATAAAAATTTACTTAAAGACTAAATTTATTACAAAACTAAACAACTGACAATTATCATTGTGTAAGGATTCATATATTAATAACTATCTGAACATTTCAATATCATTTAATGATTGCAATTATTATATCAAATGTTCTTTCAGTCTAAAGAATGATTTTATAAAACATATAAAGAACATTAAATAAAAATAGTGGTAAAATCGAACAATAGAATGGTTATTTAAATAGTATACAAGGACGAGAATTCTTAAACAGCATTTTACACGTTTTTTTAAATCAAATTCTTTAAATAGTATCATTGTTTGTTTAATTAAGTTTATTCTTTTTCCTCTAAATTTTATAACAAAAACCATAATTTTCAATACCTTGGGCGTGAGTTGATGCTATGGAAGCAATAAATTTTTGAGAAGGATTTCATTGGACATTATAATATTTATCTAAATTCTCAAAAGAGTATAAAACAAAAGAATAATGCGTGTTATTATGCACTTAAATTATTATTTAATGTGTCTCTCAATGGTCGAATCAAGAGTCCATAGATTTCTGCTTGATATAAAAAAAATCTTTCCTTAAAACGTCAATTCCCCAAAGATAATTTTTTTGTCTCAAGTTCTTCCTCGGTGCAATTTTCTTTTTCCAAAAGCATTCATCTATTTTTACTAAATTCCTTTCCCATCAAATCTTAATTGGATGATTTTATGTGCAGTTTTAGATTGAAATTTGTAGTATATATTAATCTTGTTATTGTAGAAATAGAATGGCATAAAAAATATGCATTTTCGCTGGCTTATATCTTTTACTGAATACATCAAAAAAACGGTATTTAAAATTAAAGAAGTCTAGTGGGCATGTTTCATTATGTACATTGCCTTTGTTGTGATGTAAATATTGCATCTGTAAATATTTACTTCTAACATTATATACGCAATGTCATTGTTTTTATAGATAATTAACAATAAATTATTATTCCATTAGAATCACAATCAAAAAATTGTATATTTTCATTTTGCTCTTTAATTTTGTGTCATAAATGTTTCAAGAATTGATCCTTTAGGGGTGTAAACCCAATTAAAAAAACTTTTTTTTATTCTAAATTTGTTTATATATTTTAATACTTTCACTGGATATTTTTTGACCATCTCATCTAACCCATTTTTAAATTCCTGTAAAAAATAATAATTATTTTACAGAAATTATCAGGCTCTAGTTGTTTACCTCAAAACATAGAAACGAACCAAAATTTACAAAAATCCCATAGACACACTTAAAAGTAAAACCATATACTAAAAATAAAAGCAATTGAGGGAGCATTAACAATTAGGAGTTTTTCAATAAATATCTTCTATGCCGCAATCCCGGCAGCATTGAATGCTAAGATGATATAGTTAAGAAAACATAATGAAATCGGCAATAGCGATTTAAAATAAAAAAATATATTAGGATTGCTAAAAAAAACTAATGACCGTTATGAAATTTATAACCTTAAATGTCTTAATATTCTAAGCCGAATCTCTTAATTTTTGTCGATGGAAAATAATTGTGCATGGGTAAAGGGGATCTCCATGATGTTTGAATTATATCAGCATATAAAAGGCGTAAAATAGTTCTGGTGAGTTGTGACTATAAATGCTTTTGCAAAAATTGTCGAAATGAAGTATTTAAAGAAATTTTTTTTATACAATTATCAAAAATATTTCTTTAGAAAAAAATTAGTATTTAATATGGTATTTCGATACCCACGGAAAGTAAAAGAAGCAAGAAACCAGGTACACAAATCAAGTAACTTTAATAAACAGTTTATTCCAATATCTATTTTCATAAAATTTATAAATGTTTATGAGGTTTTACCACAAAGGTACGACAATAATAAACTATTAAAGTTGACATTTAATGTCAGAATATTTAATAAAAGTAGATTCATTTTGAGGAAAATCGAAGTTACAAACCTTATTGACATGCTGTGCATAAATATCAAAGTTTTAGAGAACATTTGCTGGAAGACTATTTTTTCAAGCTTTGGTTAAATGGCTAGGTATCGAAATAGGAATATATGAAATCATCTCTTTGCTAGAAGGCAACAAAAGTATTATGCTTTAAAGATATTTTACCCCCAGTAAGTAGGAAACATAGATATTCTTAAATATGTTTTTACTTGAAGATTTCTTTTTCTTCTTGTCTATCTTACATCATTCGGTGGAATGGTATATTTTTATATTTTCTTAAAAGAAGTAAATATTATACTCTATAATGTATATGTCGTTTTACTTTCTGAAAAATCTCCAAGGAAAAAAATTAAAAGAACTCCTTAAAGAATTGGAGTAATATTGTTGAAATAGTAAATTCAAAATTGCTGCAAGGAATTAATATATTTTCGATTTATAATAGAATATTTTAATGCATTAAAATTTTATCATATTCTCTGTTAATCATTCAATGTTTTAAATGCTCCATTTTTTTCTAATATACGAGTAAACATCATTTAATCAAAATGATGAAGACTTAAAGATAATATTTTGGGGTATCAGATTAGTAATTGTCCAAAAAATTCATTTTACAGTGCATATAGTTGTAAATTTGAGAATATACGGATTTTTTGTTAAACTATTTCATTAACTATAATTTTTAATATTAAGCCGAATTTTATAAGTTTTCGCTTTTATAAAATAAATATAGCGAAGGGGTATTTCACTTATAGAGGCTATAAATATATTTTAGATTAAAAGATTATCTATACATATGGTTTAATCTTGTTAATATAATGCATAAATAGCTAATAATATCATCCTAAGTTATGTTAAATAAACCTTTAAAGCAGCTTAAACTATGTAGTTTTTTTTGAATTTCTCCAATAAAGATTTTTTAAATTAAATTAAAAAGATATATTTTATTACTCATTAGAAAAATACTTTTTCCTTTATAAGATCATTTTCAAATAAATTAATTTTCAAAAAGAATTTATAAATCAAAAAAGTAACAAACTTTAGTTTATTTTAAATTATGGAAAGAATGATAAATAAAACCAATTAGGTAACAAATTATATGTATTTTTTCTTTTTTCTAGAAACATTAAATATTTAATTCTTAGAAAATATTAAAATAATATCCCATGTCATCTGAAAAACAGAAAATCAACGCTGAAGTAAAAGAGAATTCAATAAAAATGCAAGGAAAATTACAGAAGGATAAAATCTATCTAAGGGATTTGTGTTTAGATGGAGATTTTAGTGAAATACAAAACAGATGTTGTGAAAATATTTTAGGGTTTAAAAAAGTTCCTTTAGGTGTCTCAAGAGAAAAAATTAAAATTAATGATGAAGAGTTTTGGGTACCAATTTGTACAACAGAAGGTGCCCTTGTAGCTTCTATGTGCAGGGGCATTAAACTTATTAATATATGTGGTGGTGTGAAAGGAATTGTTGAAAATTTAGGAATAACAAGAGGGTTCACAATGTCTTTTTCTTCTTTTGAAACAGCTGTTGTTTTTTATAAGTGGATTAAAACTAATGAAGATATTCTAAAGGAAATAGGAAACAAGACCAGTAATCATTTAAAAATTAAAGAGATTATAAGCAAACATATTATCTCTAATGAAGTGTTTATAAAAGTAAGTGCATACACTGGTGATGCAATGGGAATGAACATGATAACTAAGGCTTGTAATGCAATAGCTCAATACATTGAAAAAACTTTTGATGCAAAGATTGTTTGCATATCTTCTAATACGTGTACTGACAAAAAATGGTCTATTGAAAATTTTGCTAATGGAAGAGGAAGAAAGGTAAGTTTAAATTTGATAATATCCCCTGAAGAATGCGAAAAAATATTGAAAGTTAAAATTGATGATTTATTAAAAGTTTACCATACTAAAATAGTTTTAGGTAGCTCTTTAGTTTTAGGGGGATTTAACTGCCAGGCTGCAAATATAATTGCAGGAATTTTTTTGGCCTTAGGTCAAGATTTAGGACATGTTGTTGATTCCTCTAATTGTATAATTTCAATGAAAAAAGAAAATGAGAATTTAGTGGTAAGTTTGTTCATGCAATCTTTGATTGTAGGATCTTTAGGAGGAGGCACACATTTATCCCCTACAAATGCATTTTTAGATCAGTTTTATAAAGAAGACAAGGATTATTTTATAACAAATAAATTGATTGATAAAGGTATTGCACCGAATTACTTAGCGATCATGATCGCAGGAGCAGTTTTGGCCGGAGAATTATCCGGACTAGCCGCATTATCAGATAATACTTTGATTGATGCCCATTTAAAATTAAATAGAAAAAAATAAACAATTTTTATCTGAATGATGTTTTGCAATGTGATAAAAAGTCTTTTGATTTTTAGTGTAACTCGCAATAGCTCAGTGGTAGAGCGGGAGACTGTAGAGTTTGCTGATATCTCTAGGTCGCTGGTTCGACTCCAGCTTGCGAGATTTTTTAAATTATTTTTCTTCTTATAAAATATATTTTAATTAAATTTCTTTAGCAATAGTTTTATATTTAATAAAATAATAATTTAATATCGAAATAAAAGTTATGATTTTTAAATAGCTTTATGAGACTTAAAAAGTCAATCATGCTTTTTCTACTTTGTTTATCTTTCTAATGTTTAATATCTTTTATTTTTTAGTTTTTTAAATATTTGTTAAAACTATATCAAATGTAAATCCTGGACAAAATATTAGAAATTAATCGAGATTGAGTAAAGTTGCATTATTTTTTATTACCTCGATGTCAACCTCTTAATAAGTCCACAAAACTTTGCTTCAAAGGGAAGAAAGCTTACCAAATATATCTACAAAATAGAAAAAATATTAAAATTTTGTTCTTTTGTGTTTTTAGACTTAATTCATATATAAAAAATTTTTGCCTATAATTTATATAAATAATACTTGTTTAAATAATTTCCTACTGTTTCATATACCCGTAATATTTGTCAATATATATAATTATGATGATCATCACAAATCAAAAGTATCCTCTAGCCTGGTAAAAAAATCTCAAAAATATTTAATTTTGTAGCAGTATTGGATTTTATTTTTAAGAAATACTCATTAAGCTTTTACCTTATATCACTTTTAGAAGAGCTTTGAGGTAAAACGTTGCAAAGCGAACTTTTAGTTTTTTAAAACACTGTATTTATACTTTTTGTACAAATTTAAATATAAAAGGAGCTTTAAATTCTTTTAACCCCATTAACAAATTAATTTTTCAATTTCTTTGTTAAATCTTAAAAAAAAACGGATCCAAGTGTTTATTTTTCAGCACAAATGAATTTAGTATTCATAAGCAAATTAAACTTCTATATTTGAAGAAAAACAATATTAGAAGCAAAATATATTTAATATTTGATTAATATATTCAGGTTTTACTCTCTTAATTCATGATAATTAAGCAAATTGCTATTACGTATAAATTTAGAAGCGACGAACTTTTAAAATATAATTTTATCTTTAAAAATAGGCCTGCATTTAACCATACTATCGACCTAAAATAATCTTGTATGATAATATTTAATAGGATTCATTGTTATACATTTTAAATTTAAATATTTTATTCTAAAATATCTCAAATAAAGATTTTAATTCTTAAAATATTTAATAATTTTTTCTAATATGTGTATTTTTATAAAATAAGAATAAAAATAAATTATTTATAAAACTATAAAAATAAAATAATATTCCATTTAAATGTGTATTAAGGGGTAAATATAAATATTACTATCGTATAACATACATTTGATCCATAATTTTTAAGCGTATCTTTAATTTTTTTTGTTTATTCTAGAACAATATAAAAAAAGTATTTATAAGATTCTTCACAAACATCCATGAAAGGAAATATTGGAAAAGTAGAAGTAAACATCATGCTCTATTTATTTAAACTTTTTAAAATAGTTTTAAGCCCTATGGTCCCCAGAAATACAAAATATGTTTTTGATTTCTTGAAAGTACTAGTTTATTTCATATTATTATGCAATAAATTCAATAATTTTTATTTTAAACCAAATAATTATAGGCTTCCAAATATTTCTTCCATCTTTTTAAAATATATTTAATTTATATTTTAAGATCCAAATCACTTGCTAATGAAAAGAACATATTAATACAAAGAAAGTGAGGATGTATTTAAAATGCATTACAAAAATATAATAAAGCTATGCGGGCCATCATTTAAAATTTGCTTTTCATGAAGAAACTATCATGAAATATTCAAAAAAAGATTTGCAAAATCTTTTAGTAGCACAACAAATTGTGAAAAATTTTAATCAATTAAATATAAAACCCTAACATAATGTTCGCCAAATGCCAGGAAGAAAGAAAATATTGATATATTAAGAGCTAGAAACAACCATAAGGACTATATATGAAGAAGTGCTAGGCTTAAATGAATTATAAATCAATACAATAGCAAATATGAGGAACAAACATAAGAATCTACAGTTGGAAACAATTAAAGGCACTAAAATTGACCCAAAAAAATTATATCATTGCATAAAGTAAACACAAAAAGATTCATCAATGGGAAAAAACTCTACACATCTTGTTTGTAAATAATTTTCTGCGAAGAAAAAGTAAATGTCTGTACTAATGAAAGTGGTTCTAATTAACAAATAAGAAATTGTTGAGCCAGATCATTTATTGGGATCCTTCTATTTTGTTTATCTTTCTAATGGGTAATTTCTTTTATTTTTTAGTTTTTTAAATATTTGTTAAAACTATATCAAATGAAATCCTGGACAAAATATTAGAAAGTAATCGAGATTGAGTAAAGTTGCATTATTTTTTATTACC